AGCATAACGCCATTGATAACGTTGATAAACAAATGTAAATCACCAAACATGAAGGCATTCTCCATTTTCTCGAACATGTCTGACATTAACTGAAACATACTCCTTATATTGTTTCATTATTGATATCAGACCCATGTATTTGAAACTGATACAAGACTGATTCACCACTGATCCATAAATTTGAATCCGCATATTTCTGATCCATGAAAACGGAGAGGACAAAATCATTGAGTGCGGTTTGATTACCAAATGATCATCGGTTCAAATGATCTATCTTATCAGTCATATAAACTTTGTTGGCGCTAATTTTGGTTTCGATTTTTTTTCACATTCCCATTCCGAAGAAAAGATTGCAACAAGGGAAGATGAATGTTTTTTGTGACGTTGTTCTCATTACCTGAGCCCAAACGAATTTATGCATTGCATCCATTGTTTGCAGTTCAGGTCCCATTGGTCCAGTGTACATTCCAAAGCAAGCCTCCAAGCTTTTTCGAGGGAACGACGGTAAATGTGTGAATTCATCGTGCAAAAAGAAGATCCGTTGAGGAATCTGAAGAGTTCAAAGCAAAGATGCTTAACTAATGACAAACTTAATTAGCTCATGCACGTTCAAAATCAAAATATCAAAATATCCACTTCAGTAAGTTATCCCGGAGGAAATTCATGCTATCATGTATAAATGTGCACATATGAATGGAGTTATTAAAACAGTTATGAAATCTAGAATTTTTTGGAGTGTATAATGCAGACTGTAATATTACGCCGTTTTTACAAAAGAACTGTGTGCACAATGATGATTACAGTTGTGGAAAGAAATAAAATAAGTTGATACCACAGTCTTAGGACTGTGTTTGAGGGCATTATGCGTCAGTAGGACTTTGCCCATTTCGATAAGTTTCTGAGTGAATGCCATTTCTCGCATCCGAATGTGCGCCTCATCTGGATCGATATATTGAAGGGTGATTTGTGGATAAACCGATCGATGAAAAAAGTAGAAATCTCTGAAAGTTTTCATATTTCTGAAATATTCGAGCATCCTTGACAAGGTTACATGCAGGTTTAACCATTTATGTATTCAAAAGAATTTAAGCTCTTAACTTAGGCAATTTGTGAAGTTTTGTGGAACGAATTCATTTGAAGTGCAGCTTAACCGGACAATGGCTTTCAACTGAGCACATCAATACAGGTGTTTTATCGGTGAAAAGAAAGAGAACGAAATCGGTGTGAATCACTCGTGCAAATCACCTGACGAACGACGACGGGATATGCACTAGATTCGTTTTTGTATCCACCAAAAAGTAATTTTCCACTTCGTTTTCGGGAATATTGAAAAACTCGATACTATCGGTGAGCAGCTGTTGAAATATGGTATCTTCATGAATTGGGAACTGCGACGGAATACCACCCGAACCACTGTCGGGCCCGTGAACGATTATCTTTTTTGCTGATGGTACGTTTGCGGTGATCATTAAGGCTTGCTGAAAACTTGAGCAGTTTCGGATGGATTTTTGGGCCGAATCACTAAGATTAGAGCTGTTCGCCAGATCAGATCAATTTCTCGCAAGACACACTCGTCTCAAGTTGCTGATATTTTAAGTGAATCATTTGGATTCGATTAAATGTACTGATTATAGTGATATGAATTTTTTCACCGCATAGAGAATCTTGAGTTTGGTCACTCAGATGCACTTGTTAATATTAATTGAATCGAATCGATTTCAATATCACGTATACATGGTAGCTTATGTTAATTTGGAAGTTGCTGAGGAATGAATCATTATGATTCATTGATTATCAGTAAGGTTATTTT